AGACAGGTTGGGGTAGGGGAAGGGTGGGGAATGCAAATGTACAGAGAGCAGAGCTACCTGTCTGAGCTGTGTGTACCTGGACCGGCCTCAGAAACACAAGTTAAGTTTGCAGCGAGACAGCAGTGAAATGGCTTTTTGATTAAGAGCTGCAGTCATGGTGTGTAATAAAGCCTTTTGGGAAAGAAGGAAAAATAAATAGGAAGAATGATTTCAGTCTAAAGCTTAAGTAGGAGACTTCATTAGCAAACCTATCTTGTTGAAAATCAAGTCTCTTCCATGTGCCAAGCTCTGTTGGAAATGCTCCAGGCACGGTGCTGGGGCTGCCCATTTCCCAACAATCTGGCAGGCTCAGTTCCTCAGAGAAGTGCATGCCAGCACAGGCATATTTTTAGCTTAAAACTAAATATGTATAATGCAGGGTCTGTTTGGGCATCTTGGTTTGTGCTTTGACATTCAGGTGTTTTTGTCTTGTGTAACACAGTGTGATGTTAGAGCCAAAATGGATTGAAAATAACCCCGGAGGGAAGTGAAAGCCTAGCGTGATGCTGGATGTTGAGCAAACACGCTTTGCTAAGCCTTTTGGTGAAGGTATTGCTCGCTGAGAGGCTGGAGGAGCAAGACAAATGGATCTTCCGGGGAATGGAAGGCTCCTGGTGAACGTGGAGCATCCATGTCAGGTGTATTTGGAGTCCTGCTGGCAGTGAGAGGAAGTCATTACCTGGTCCCCTTGAATAAATCTCCTTGCAGCTGGCTCCCCGCTGGGCAGTGAGTGAAGCATTGAAACACCAATCAAGCTGCTTCTCTCCCAGAGGAGAAAGCAGCGGGGACTTGGCCCAAGGAAGAACATGCCAGCCTTTGAAGTTCCGCTGGGAAGAGCGCCCCACTGGCCTCATCTCCACTCTTGAAATGCTCAGATGTGCGCAGCACTGTCAGCAGTGCTGTTGTCACATAGTCCAGTAAACAACTTTATCACTTGGGTCAAGTCTAACTAATAATGGATTTTTTTCCCCCTCTCCATGTCCAAAACATAGAAAGAGAGGCCATCCCACTGAGCTCCCCTTCCTGGTGGACTTGGATTGGGGCGGCTGAGTCCCTGCTGCCAGTGTGCATCTGGTGTATCTCATCGCTTTCTCTTCAGAGCCCTTCCTGACCAGGGCATCCTCCCTGAAACTCCAACCAGGGCCAGCTCTTTGTGCAACAACTCACAGCCCTGAACCTGCCTTTTCAAATGTTTTCTTTAGCAAAAAACGATTGCTTCCAGAGCTGCACTGCTGTCCGATGTAGTAGCTTCCAGCCCCTGTGGCTACTGAGCCTTGAAATGTGGAAAGCTCCAACTAAGGTGTGCTGTGAATAAAAAATCCATGCTGGCTTTCATGATTTAGTTTAAAAATACATAAAATATTCCACTGAAAGTTTGTATTTATGATGTGACAAATAGTATGTTGATGACTTTGGGTTAAAATATATTATTAAGCTTCTTCTTACTTGTTTCTGATTATATTTTTAAAAATGTAGTACTGGAAATTTAAGGTTACATATAAGTGTATTTCAAATGTTCATGGAAAAATAGAAATAAATATTAGCTTATTTTGTTGCAAAAAATGTTTGAAACCCATGCATGTGAGGAGTCTTCAAAAATTTTATGAAAAAATGAAATGTTTATTATGAAAACCTATGCATGAATTTAAAAAAAAACCTGTTTGAAGTATTGTAGTAGTGGCTTTCAATGTATTTCTACTGGCTGGGTGGTACTCACATTTTGTGTAAGTGCCGATGAGAAGCCAAGTTCCTTCATATTCCCAGAATTTGATGCTTAAAGGGTGGGAGTAAATATTTCAGGCTTTGCTCTAGATCAGCTGTAGGCATAAATAAATGAATAGAAGTGTCTTCAGTCCAATAGAACTTTATCTACAAAAAACAGTGGTCTGCTAGATTTGTCCTGGGGACTGTAATTTACTGTCTCCTGGTCTACTGAAAGGGGGAATTTTGCCTGGATTAATACACTTTGGACTGGAAAATCATGTTTTCCATTAGTGGAACTCCTACTCTTTGTATCTTAAGGAATTAAGGGCTTTTTCAGGGATCTTATGGTATATGCAAATATCATTGAATGTGTTAATTCTTTGTTGGATTATCATAATCAGACCAGCAGATGATGAAGACAGGATCTAAAACACTAGAGCTGGCATTTAATATGATCCCTTCCCCTATTCTTCTCTCTCTCTTCCCAGTAAGTTGGAGTTTATATCCTGTGAGGTTACTTAGTGAGAAAACTACAGTCAGCACTGGCATTATCCTGAGTTGATCAGTTCTTCTGAAGCTCTGTTGGGGGAATGCATATGGATTTGGAAGGCAGAAAAATATACCAAAACATCATCTCTGTATCTTACAGGTGGTAACTTTTGTCAGACTCCTTAACAAGCTTCAGTTTTCTCATCTGTTTAACAGAGATAATATGATCTGCCTTGTTGTTTTTGGACAATAATAGATAACATCCATATCTGTATCTATGTGGCACATAGTATATAGCAGATGTTCAGTAAGTTGCTGTTTTTTTGAATCATTTTCATTGAAATGGAAAAAGAGAGAGAGAAAGAGAGAGAGAGAAATGGAGAGAGATCTTGTGTCCATTAGGTTTACTCTCCAAATGACCACAACAGCTGGGCTGGCCCAGGTTGATGCCAGGTGCCAGGAACTCAACCTGGATTTCTCAAATGGATGGCAGTACTTGAGTAATTATCTTCTGACTCCCAGGGTGTGCACTAGCAAGAAACTGGATTCAAGTTCCAAAGGAGCTGGAACTTGAAACAGGCACTCTAATATGAGATGCATGTGTCCCAAGTAGTGACTTAACTGCTGCATCAAATGCCCACCCCATAAATGAATTTATTAATGCTGTGTCATTACCAACTTCCACAAGTAGGCAGTATATGTAGCAATTAAAAATTTAATATCATAGCGTTAGAGTTAAGGCATTTGGATTTTCACACCACAGCAAACTAATCACACAACCTGGGAAAGTCTGTTTCCTTCTCCAAATCCTGCTTGCACAGTTGGTATGCTAATGTCCGTCTCAGAAAGTGGTATGACAGGTTGTTGGGGTCATGTGTGTGGAGACCTTCTCAGTGTCCAGATATTGTGAGTAACGTGATAGAGTGATTCTGATGGAGTCTGAACGCTCATGTCAATACCTGGGCTTTGCTCCTTTTCGGGGTTGGTATCCCTGAGACAGCAGTGGCATCCACAAAGAACTTCTGGGTTTGGGATCCCCCAGAGAAAGGTCTGTTTTTTGTGGAATCGCTCTTGGAAAGGCAGGTTTGCATCTGAAACATGGCCAGGTATCGCAGAGGCAGTGTTGAGATACTCAGCATTTCCCCTGACATTGACTCGGTGGACAGCATGTGTCACAGTGAAATGAAAGGTTTGCATTTCTGTGAAGGCTTGCAGTAATGTCTGTGATGCCTCGCGTAGACCAGACACCGTTATGGTTTGTTTCTCTAAAATTCAATGACCAGGACTGACATTTTGCAAACATGTTCAGCTATTTTCAAAAATGATAAATGCCAAGAAATTTAAGTAGTTTTTCTGGAATCTGTTATTTACCATTTTGTGTTTTTTTTTTTCTTTTTTGCCCCAAGAAATGTGTTCAGATGAGAAATCAGAGAATCCTATATTACCTTCTTGAAATTTTTAAGTCTGTTCTAGAATTTATGGAGCTGTTTTATTCATAAATGTAGTTCTGGTATCTAATTATAGCTTTGTAGAGAGAACTTTGCTGTGACTGTTTTTGTGTAACTTCTCATATCCATGGCCAGGGAAGGAAAAATGCCATAATCCTTATAATTATCACACAGTAGGCTGTTGCTGCTGAATTTTTTAAGTCCTTTGGAACCAGAACTGCAATCCTTTCAGGGACTTCTCTTATTGACAAAGCAACACTAAGTAAAGGCTATGCAGCATGGATTCCACATGCCAAGGGGAATATGTTAGTATTCACAAGTCATGATAAGAATTCAGGTTGGGGGAGGCACACAGTGAGGGAAATTTTCACTCTATCACTGTGATTTTATTATTTTCATTTTATTTGAAAGGGAGACACACACGCATAGAAGGAGACATATATAGAGAGGGGGAGGGAGAGAGAGAGATAGTTGTAGAAAGGTCTTCTGTCTACTGGTTCACTCCTCAAATGGCAGCAATAGCTGGCCCAGGCTTAAGCCAAGAGCATAGACTTCAGTCTTGGGCTCCCAAGTAGGCAGCAGGGACCCAAGTACTTAAGCCATACCTGCTATCTCCCAGGGTGTGCATTAGCAAGAAGATGAATTTGGAAGCCACAACTTGAACCTAGGTACCCCAATACAGGATGTGAGCATTCTAGATGGTGTTCTAACCACTGTGTCAATTGCCTGCCCCTTATAACTATTCTGTATTTGTGTATAGCTACACAAATCACACCTCACTGGAAATACAAGAAAATCCCATTCTTTCCTCTTACTTTCCTTAGAAAAGAGATGGCCTGATTTCCAATCCTAGCTCTCAAGCTCCCCCAAACTTTAAGAGTGAGGGACTTTAGGAGTCTGTGTTAAGAAGCCATCTCTGAGAAATCTCCAGAGAAGTACAGTTGGGGATGACACAGCCAGAGTTTTATATAGTGGCCCAGTACACAACATTGATGATCGGCATAATGGACCAACCCTGTGATGTAATAGATGGACATACTAAGCCTCTGATTCATTAAAAATGTGAAAAAAAAACTTTAATAAGATCTCAAATAAAATTGTACATAATGGTTGGTCATTTAACAGATGCATGTACCTGCATAATATAAGCTAAAATGAACTTTCTGATTTCTAGAAATAAATGGTAATGAACTTTGTGCAGATACACAAAGATCCTCAAGCCATGTTCTTTTGAATAATGGAATCTAATTTTACTAAGTCCGTACCCCAGGATACTCCCCAGACACCAGGTGCCATAACACATGTGTCTCTGTATTTCAGGTTGGGTTTCCCGATGATGATTGTGTCCTGCACTGTCGCGATGTGCTATCTCCTCGTTGCGCACGTTGTGGTGGGATGGAATTAATAGGTATCCGTCACCTGAAGACTAAGGGAAACCTGATCCATCTCCAACACCTGTCAGAAAACCTCCCCAAGATCACTCTCTGGAGAAGAAAAAGTGCTTACCATGGAGATGCTGCACAGTGGAGTAGACTCGGCGTTTATGCTCATCCGGGTGAATGCTGGCAAATCACGACCTCCTCTCATGTGACTTTTTCCCAAGAACAAAAGATAGGAAATACAACATAACTTGCTGAAGATTCCCTTACAGTAAAATGTGATCAAAAACACTTCTTGCTTTTCTTGTTAAGACAAGACACAATTTCACTCAAAATGGCTTGTTCTCATTAATTGTCCCTTTTCCTGAGGCTAACATGTATCCAATTATTCTTCTTGTGATCTCTTTTCTGTTAAAATAATCAGCATTCAAACTGTATGCCCCCCACCCACAAAGATAGACTCTTAATAGGAAACAGTATACCATTTGTAAGGAAATATTTTATATATTAAAAAAATAAACTGTTCCTTGAGTAAAGCTGTTGGAATTGATTAGTTTCCTTGTTTTTTCAATAGTTTGCATTACATTAAATTACATTTTATTCATTTATATTTTTCTCTGCAGTTTTACAGTCATTAATTAGAAGTCCATAATTTGATTTACAGAAGATCATAAGTGTGCTTTAAATGGCATTTAACAGCCTACAGTAATAATTTTCCACTTCGAACATGATGCATGCTATTTTCATTTATTACACAGAACTGTGGTCAATCCATTCAGCCCTGCTCTGTTGGCAGGACTCTAGTGGTGCAGTCAATGCTTATTAAATGCAGTTCTTTTGCAAGCACCCCACATTAAGCCGGAATATTGAGAACAAAGAGCCAGAGGAAGTTCTGTGCTTCAGTTAACATCCTGTCTGCTCTGCCTCGTCGAGGCTGTGGTTATGCCCCAGAGGAAGAACCTCTTGTGGAGTTTTCCACCGTCTATGCAGGATATCTTGAGAAGGAAATGTTTGCTGGGGTCTGTGTTCCGAGTGATCTTTGTGTAGAATCTGATTTCAAAAGGTTTAATATGCTAGGGGCACAAAGAACTGGAATGTCAGAGACTTTTCTCATCCCCTTTTTGTCACTGGCACCCTCAGGGAGGGTGTGCCCTCTGTACAGGTAAGTTTGTGTTTGTAGAGTGGCAACCTGCTTCCTTCCTGAAAAGCTGGGAGAGTTTATGAAATTATGACCTGAATTCAGGAGCCATCTTTGAATTCCTCAACAGCAAAGGCGACCTGCAACTCCATTTGTATTTTAAAATCTGATCCTGGGCACTATCTCATGAATCTCCATGTGCACCTGCTCTTGTGGCTGGGAAGAGCCTCCTGTCTGTGCAGAAAAGAGGCTTCCGACCAGTCCATCTCTTCATCTTTACCTCGCCTCCCTAATACCTCTACGACCCTGAGCCCTTGCACTAAAAGGCGTTGTTTTCCTCTTCTGCCCACATCTGAGAATGCCTGGAGGCAGCATTCATGTCTTCCTTTCGTCCAGTTGCTTCTTCCAGCTCATGTCTGCCTTTTCTTCCTTTAATGTCTCCTGTCCTTTAATACCCGAGCTCGATCACAACATTTCCTGCCTCTCCCAAGTTCCGCAGTCCTTCCTTCTCATTTTAAAATCTGTTAGCTTCTGACTCATTTCTCCCTCTGCCTCATCCCACATTCAGCCTCTTGACATTCAAACCAAGGCTGCATAGTTCTTTGGTCTCATTTATTCCCTCCACCTGCCTTGTACGTCCACCTTTGTATCACACCCTGAGCATCATCCCAGGTGGCTGCACTTTCAGTTTGTTCATTTCAGATGCCTTCCTCTGATCCTTCTGACGCTTGCAATCACTTACTGTGGATGGTCATCTAAAATAAGTCGTCTCCTCACTGACTCCTCAAATTCACAAGTCCCTCCTCTTTTTCCAAGTTTCCATGTCATTTCCTTCTTAGTGTAGCTTTCTATATCTGCTCTTAAATTTAAAAATCTACCGACAAACTAGTCGTTATCCACATTTCTGCCCACGCATCCAAGCACCTGAATATTGCGGAGGTAAATCATTACACTGGGGTGATGGGTTTTACCTTAAATAACAATCACAAGCATTAACTGAGTCTTTGAAACTGCCTTTCTCTCTGGAAACAGATGGCAGCTCAAGTAGGTAGCTAAAAGGGAATTTAACCATGGGTACTTCAGCCCTCCAGAGTTGTGAGAGTTGACACCTGTAGCCTTCTGAGAATGCGGGAAAGGGGTCAGTTCCCAGGAGCTTGAGATGCAGGGTATAGTGGGGAGAGGAACCCAGACAAGTGCTGAGGGTGGAGCCAGCTTCCATCATTCCCAGGGGAGGATGCCATGGAAATCATCTTAATGTTTATTTCTTTTCTTCCTGTGATTTCCAACTCTGTCCTTCCATTGGCTGACCCAGTCAGGTGCCAGAGGATAAGAGAAAGTGTTTATATTGTCCAGAACAGATCAGGAAGAGGAAGATGCGAGCAAGTAGGGGAGAAGAGGAAAGATATTCAGCTCATTCTCCAGTTCTGCTCCTTCTCAGATGGAAAGCTCACGTCTGAGTAAAGGAGGTGGTGGAAATGCCCTTAGCCTTCTTGTCATCAAGAGGTAATGAAAACTTGTCCTTCCTCCCCTCTGAACTGACTCCAGGTTCAGCAGATGAACAGCCCAGTGCTTGTTAAATAATGTTTCCCAGTGTCGGCCAAAGACATCATTGAAGAAAGTAAATGTGGCTTTGCAAGGAGTGCTGGGCTGTCATCATCAGTGCTCTCTGTAGGAATTTTTCCCACACTTTGTCCGGGAGCCCCTAAGTGTCATAAGGATCATGAATATACACATCTTGAGTCTGAATACACCATAGAAAGCCAGTTGTAGAGTCCACTTGCCCTTCTACTCCACATGAGGAGTCTGTCCTCCTTGGCTTGCATTAGTAGCTGTGTCTTACCTTTGACACCCATTCATGTGCAGCCAGGAGGTTAGGTGGCAAAGCCACCATGGGGGCACATTGTGGGTCTTCAACTTGTGCAGGCCCAGTGTCCCAAATGCAACAACTTCAGAACAGGAGGTAATGTGAGTGTCCAATGTAAAAATTCAGCGGATAAGAGAGTGCACTTGGCTTGTGATGCACAGCTCAGTTGGTTTGGTTACTTCATTTCCCAGTCAGATCTTTCCTGCTTCCCAGGGCCAAGTGCCAGCTGTGAGCAGTTATTTTTTTTTTTAAAGTTTTTTCCCTCCCTCCCTCCCTATTTCTTCCCTCTCTCCTTCCCTATTTCTTCCCTCCCTCCCTTCCTTCCTTCTTCTCTCTCTCTCTCTCTCCCTCCCCCTCCTTTCTCTCTTTGAAAGGCAGAGTGTTGGGAGGGAGGGAGAGGGAGAGGGGGGAGTGGAGAGAGAGAGAGAATCTTCCATCTGCTGTTTGACTCTCCAAATGACAACCAGGCCAGGCTGAAGCCAGGAGCCAGGAACTCCCATATGGGTCTCCCACATAGCTGGTGGGGCCTAAGCACTTGGGCCTTTCATTGCTGTCTTCCCAGGTGTATTAGCATAAAGGTGGATTATTAGCAGTGCAGATGGGACTCAATGTGGCACTCTGATATGGGATGCTGGTATCACAGGTGGTAGCTTACCTTGCTGTGCCACGTTGCCAGCCCCTGTGAGCAGATTTTAAAGTGGAGTTTCATAGTCAGAACTAGAAGGCCAGGACTTCACCTGCATTCTGAGACTGCCCTGTGATTCTTCTGTTGAAGGTCACTAACATCTCCCTGCATTGTCTGTCTGCCGTAGACACTCTGGATGGTTTCAGCTGTGCTGGATTCTTTCATGGGAGGTTTGCACAGTGACATGAATCTGCTCAGGAGCATTTACTTAATGTGAGCCCCTCAAATCTTGTGACTTTAAGAAATTACCTGCTAATGGGCCAGAACAATTGATCCAATATGTTAGATGTTACATACAAAATAGAAACTGACCACCATGAATTGTGGTTTTCTCTTATTGGTAATTAGTACAAAGCATAACAGTTTGTCTCTCACCTCACCTCTGTAATGTTAAGTCATTGATTGGAACTTATCTCTAAAATTCTAATCAGGGCACTGTATTTCTTTCGTTTTACTATCTTGGTCTGAGGGTGGGGAACTTCCTGACTTACTAGAGAACAGAGGTAAGGGTTTGTACATTTTTTTGACAGCTCAGTACTTATTCTAGAAATCAGCACAGGATGGATTCACTCATCCATGAGATCAGCTGTTACATGGCTTTAGCTAGAGAATACACCTTTCACTTGACCTCCAGAAAACTTCTGCTGTGTCTCACGGACCAGAGGCTATTTTGAGTCTCTGTGGATCAAGGAATATTCAGAACTGCTATCTAGTTCACGGTCTACCTTGATATTTCTTTTCACCAATGCAGAAGTTGCCTGTAAATGGCCTCTGGTCCCTCTGGGGAAGGTGGATGGGAGGAATACTAAAAAAATCTTTGGCTATGTTGAAGAATCATTTTTTTTTCTCAGAGGCACTTGGCTTCCTTTCAATCAGGGCCTAACAATGCTAGAAACATCCTTGGATCTGGGAAGTGGCTTGGGTTGTTGATCTCTCTTACGATGACTTGAGATAAGCCTCCTTGTGCCAGACATATTCCCTCCAGCTGTATATGTCAAATTGCTCATATAATCCATTACTATGACTTTATGATCAATTTGCTTTTTGGCCTAGATCTCTGAAGTTCACCATGGTAACTGTGTCCTCACTGACTATAACTTCCCTGGCCTCTCCTACCTTGGGGTCCCATTATTCTCACTGAGAAAAGAATTGGATTCTATGACTGCATTCCCCACTGTCATCAACAGTCTCCAAAGTACAGGTATCATGGAGATTTCTAAGTGTGTTGATGCCAGTCTCCAAATAATGTATTTCTTAATGCTTTGATGTAAGAACTGTCCACTCCTGCAGAGAATTCTAGGGGAATCTGAGTAGATTTCACACAATCTATCTGTGCCTTTGGACTCCCTTATATGCCAATTTCTAACTAACTGCACCTGCTAATAACATCTATTCCAAGAGCTCAGCCCAACACATTAAATCTCAACTCCAGCTGAGTGCACCCATCCATGAATTTGTCTCATTCAATTCCTATATTTCATTCTCTCTGTGTTGTAATATCCTTGAATTTCAGTCACTTACAGGCTCCCAAAATAGAGTGGTGAAATTTTGTAACTTTTTAAATAGACAGGATAATTTATCTTGAAGTAGACATTCTACTTCTCTGAGAAGTTTTAGTTATCTTATAACAGCCCTGCAGAAATGGAGGGGTTTCAGGAAGCATCTTGTGTTACATAGGAGGGATCTTCAAAAAGTTCATGGAAATGTCTATTATAAAATACATTCATGGCTTTCATATTTTCTGCACCAGAATAAGCTTATCATCTAATTCCATTCTTTAACAAACTGTTTGAAGTATTCTTGTCCATACC